GCAATGACTGCCTCCTAGATGATACAATAATTTAAGAGAAAAGATTCATGTGTATAGGATGTTGAAAATACCTCCTTTGCCCTTAAAAAAATGCTTTATGATGCTTCCATGAATATGCAGAACTACAAGTTCATATCTAAATTAAATTAAATTATTATTTACATTTTAAAATTCCAGGGATTCGGGGCCTCCCTGGTGGTGCAGTAGATTAAAGTACAATACTAAGAAACTAAAGCCACTTCAGCATGAGTTTGATACCCGCCCCGGAGATGACCCACATGGTGTGGCAGACTTCTCCTGACCCGCCCGCTACTCCCCTCAGCAGTGTACTTCATCAATCTGCCTGTTCTGCTCCCCACTCTATCTTTGGTGATCCTCTCACTGCCCCTGCACCCCAGTTCTATACATAAATAAATAAATCATTAAAAAAAAAAGCAATAGACTTAGTTCTTCAAATGAAACTAACATGTAATAAGATAAAAAGAAGCACTCTGCTAAAAAACAAAAGCAAATAAATAACAGACAAAACTCTCAAAACATAATTATAAACCACCTAATCATTACAGCTGGCTAAAATACTGCATATCTTAAGTTTTTGCTGTCTTTACAAGTTTTTAGGGTACAACAGACAACAGACTCACATCTAACCCCAACACCTAGCATAGTTTCCTCTAAATTTTTGGAGCTTACTATTCAGAATTATTCACATTCTAGAAAGAATTCTGCTTGGAATCAATGTAAGTCATAACCTTTGTGAACTTATATATCATGATGCAGTATAGTGTGATTCTCACATACTCAGTGGACTCTTAGAAAACATTATTTAGCAAACATTTATATGTACTGAGGCCCTACTAGGTATTATGTGGACTATGAAAAAGATAAAATATATTATTTATTCCATTCCAGTGATTATTGTTTGGGAGTGTGTGTGTGTGTGTGTGTGTGTGTGTGTATTTCTAAGACACTAAGTAGAGAAAATTTGGAGAACAGGCAAGGATGTAGACAATTTCAAGAAGGCAAATAGTTCAAATTTGTTTGAAATACAAACAAACCGTGCCCTTTAGAGTGTAGAACTAAATAAGATATACTCTCTTTTTTCAAAGCAATGGTTTTTACCTGGAATGGAAAATGAGCTCTAATCCTAGGAGATTGTACATACCAGGTTAAGAAGTTTATGCTTTATTCTGAAGAAAGTGGATATTCTCTGAGATCTTATGCAGGGTGTGGGAGGTCAGCTATGCTGTACTGAAATACATTACAAAATTATTATGATATTCTATTCCAAGAATAAAACAGGAATAGAGAGGACAGATGCAAGATTTTACAGGGGCAAGTCAGTAGAGCGAACATAGCATTTCTATCCTAGGGTCATCCAAAAGAGAAGCAGTTGTGAGTTTGGTATTGGTTTTGCTCTTCAGCTGCTACATGGATGCAGAATTCTAGGGAAGAAAAGCTTAGAAGTCATGAATAATGACTTGGATTTTAAAAATATTGTCCCAGAGATAACTAAAGTCTGGAAGGAATGAGATTACCAGGGTGAGTGTGGAGAGAGCAAGGGAGAAGATATACATAGGAATAACCATGGCCTTTATGTGGAAGGAGAAAAAGACAAGGAGGACAAGGTCATGAGGACAAAGTAGAATCAGAAGGAGGTAGTAGTCACCAATATCAAATGTCACAGGGAAATCAAGGAGAATAAGTACTGAGAAAAAATCAGGAGAGACAGGAGCGAGAGATACTGTAGTCTTTCAAAAGACAAGTTACAGGAGAATGAGAGGAGGAGATAAGAGTATGAAATTAAGAATGAGTAAGAGAACAAATTAATTATACATTTGAAATTTTGGATGCTTTCAGGAAGGAGAGGATAGAATCACAAAGATATATGTTAGGTTACAGGAACATGTTGCAGATTTTAAAATCACAAAGTAAGTTTTTAAAAATAAAGTCCTGGATCCTCCCTGGTAATGCAATGGGTTAGGAAGCAGCACTGCAAGCTAGCTACTGCCACTTCAGTGTGAGTTTGATTCCCGGCCCCTGAGGTGATCCACATGGTGTGGCAGACCTCTCCTGACCCACCTGCTGCTCTCCCCAGCAGTGTACTTCGTAGATCTGCCTGTTCTGTTCCCCACTGTCTTTGGTGAAACCTCTCACCACCCCTGCACCTCTGACCAGTACCCCAGTACTGGTATAAATAAATAAATAAATAAATAAAAATAAAA